CGTGACATGTTTTGCTAATAAATTTAGTAGTTTTTTAACGACTTTTTTTTGGGTTTTGCATTACGATGGTAGATTAACAAAAATATGATGGCAATGTATAAAATGATTTAAATTCTAGAATATTTTTTGTTTGCATTTTAAAAAACGTTGTTTTTTTTTTTTGATGAATTTTAAAGTGCTTTAAACAAAATTTTGTTGTATGAACAAAATAAAGGAAATAAATGAATTAAATCCTGGTTTATATGAAATGTTTGTTGATTTTTTGTTTAAATGAGAAATTTAATTTTGAATTTGTTTAAAAAATTTAAAAAAATTTTTTAATCAAGAGACATATTTATACACTTAGGAGTGTGTACGGTTTTATTAGGAAAAGATATGGTTTTTACTAAATTGTGAGAAAAAACTTACCCCATTTGTTGATTGTTAAGTTTTTAAAATTATATAAGATTTTTTTTTTTTTTTTTAAATATTTACGGTTTTTGCTTTTGTTAGATAAGCTGTAAAAGACATCCTGTTTATGAATCGTAGTAAGGTTGAGGTTTTAAGTTTTATCCAAAAAAATATATATTTAAACATTAATCAAATATTATTGTAAATAATTTGATTTTTAATTATAAAAACAAAGGAGGTTTCTTTGTTGTATATAGTAAGTTGTTAGTAGTGAAACACTTTTCTTTTCAAAAGAGAAATTTAACCCTTTGTTTTTATAATCTTTTTTTTTGAAGTTTAGTTTAAATATTGTCATTAGAGGACATGCCAACGCTGTTTTTTATATCGTTACTGTTTTTTTTTTATACAAAAAAAACGCGATCATTTTATACATTTTATATTTTTTTTGTTTCTTATTAGTTTAAGTTGTTAGTTTTTTTATTTTTCATATTTTTTTTTACCATTTTTGTGCGTGAATTGTTTACAAAAAACGTCTGCCCAGTATTTTTCTTGTTTCGACCTTTACCCTGCAAGAACTTAGCTCTGGGCAGAAGCAACGACGATTTGCGTTATGATCGTTTACTGTGTACTAAGAACTTGCTTTCATTGTTTGCTCCACGGTAAAGGTCATTTAAGAAATATTCAATTTTTGTTTTCCTACAAAATTGTTATATATATATTTTGTAAAGAAACTTATATAATATATATATATTCAATTTTGTTTAAGATTCCAATACAGGTTTGGTTTTGTAAGAGACCAAGATGTTAAATTTAGTTTAGAGTGTTTGTTTTTTTAAGAAAGTTTTTCTAAAATGTTTTGTTAACAAAAGAATTAAAGAAATTAACTTAATATAAAAACAAAATAATTTAAACTTAACAAAAATTTAAAAATTATAAATTTTAACTTGTTCCCTTGTATTGAATTTTAATTATATTTGCATTTTTTTTCTCAGCTCTGTTTCTAACAATAAACATTTAGGGAATTTATGAATATGAGTTTGAAAAAAACATGTACCGTTTATTATTAAAAATATTTTTATATGGTATTCTGTTTATTTTTTTATATATATATAATATTTATATATGTTGAGTTTTTATTTTTTTATATAAAATATTTTTTTTTTTTTTAAATTATATATAATATGAGTATGCATTTATGTATATGTATGTATGAACTAAAATATTTATTATTTTATGCATGATAAACTAATAAAAAAAAACATAACAACAAATTTATGAATAATATGATTTTATATAACATGCAATAAATATTTAACAATAACAAAGAAAAAAACTTGTGAAATTAAATTAAAATTGAATTTTATTAAAAAACACGTTTTTGTTTTCATCGTTCTATATAAGAATACTTTAATTAAATCGAAATGATTGGGGTTTCCCAGGTGTATAAAAAATTTTTAATAATTTTTTTATATTCTTTGGAAAAAGTAATAGGTTACGAAATAGTTTATTTTTTATATTTGTACAAAACGGACTTAGGTGTAATCCTTGAGTGAAAATTGAAGACACCACATAGAGGTACATCGGTCACATTGGTGTGATAAGACCTATTCTAACTTGTACTTATATATTCTTATGGACAGGGGGTTCAGTGTTCATGCACTTGTGTATAAGTAATGCTATGAGCCATATGCCATCCCAGGCTTAAAAGTTGCTTGATATTCTACCCATTGAAATAAATGTCGAAGTGCTTTACGTGAGCACCTGTCCTGAGGGCCTTATTTCATTGTGCTTCTTACACGCCGGTGGCAATTTATGTATATATGTACGTGCACTTTGCTCAAGTACACGAGCTATCTTATCTCTTGCCATAGTAGCCCCGTTGGGGTATAACAGGTGTCATGAGACAAGCTCAATCGAACGCGGACAAGCAGAAGGCAATCACTGGTTAGAGTCCATAGAAGGGTCGGACCCAACATCAGGTGAAAACACCCTATTGATGACTTGAGAATGCCATTGTCCCTACAAACATTCACATCATTTAAAGATTCACACCAGTACATTTCGAGACCTTATATGTCGCCCAAACACACTACTGAGATGGCTCCTGTTGGTTTGGCAACAGCACCTAGAGACGTATTTGGTGACATGAAATACACAAAATAATAAATCAGGATCCCTCTTCAACGAGAAACTTCCCTGAAGCGTAAAAAGCCTTACTAAATCAGTACTAATCTCCAATATCCCAATTTTATAGATCCGTGTCTTTGAAGATCCGTGTCTTTGAAGCACCAATTACGGCGGAAAGCAGAGCCATCTCAGTAGTGTGGTTGGACGATTTTAGAGGTCCAGGAATATTTGTAGGGACAGAGGATTTCTCAGAGCATCAATAGGGTGTTTTCACCTGATGTTTGGTCCTCCCCTTATATCGGCTCTAACTAGTGATTACCTTTTCCTTTGTCGCATCATATAAGTATGACGACACACGGGAGTAGTCTGCAGCGAAAGAATGAATTTAATTGTTGTAAGTCTTTTTTTACGAACGCAAAACCATTCTATGGGCGAGAGAATCCCATAATGTCTCTTGGAATAATAAAGCGCTGGGTGGTTCATATGGGGTCCTTGGACGTGCTGTTTCGAACGATTGTAGAGTATATGAAAAGAACAGTTAAGGAGCGAACGAAAGGCCCAATAGTGGCTACGGACAATTTTTGAAAATGAAGGCACTTGGTATAGAAACAGAAATACTATATATGGCAATCTAACTAATCTCTAGCACCCGGAAACAATTCCTTACAACAACTGAATGTGAAAAGTGGATTCGTATAAATATGGGGCAACAGAGGTTAACATCTTCAACGACACATAGAAGGCACGTAGGGGGAAATCAGATAGTAAGATTAAATCTAATACCATATTGGACTTAAATGAATACTGTTCCAGAGTTAGACATTTGGATCATAAGAGAACGGAGCTCGAGGAAGTTAACCTGAAGAGAGTAAAACCATATATTCAGAATAAGCAAATCTAAGATTGAAGTCGGAATGGACGCATGTGATAAAAGTTGGAGGTCAACATTGGAGGTCAAATCATTGCGTGTTTATCTACTTCACATTCTACGCTTCAAAGCGTAAAACGCATGGTGTGAACCTCCAGCTTAAGGGCACATCTATATGAAATTGAAAGAGCGGTTTCCGACGAACAAAGAGCATTTAAAGGAGACAGTGATACTCTAGAACACTATGTTATTGCCTGGATTTAGTGGAAATTTGATCTAAATATCTTGTGATCGATGTTATTTCAAATATAACATCGCTCGTGGATTCTAGGATAGATAGCACAAATATCATAAAAATTTGACATCTGTAATTGATTTTCCTTAATCATAAACAAATTCAGATATATAAAATTTTAGTAGTAAGTGTCCTTGAAACTAGAAAAAACTAGTCCCATAAAGGCACTATGTAGTAGAAATATTAGATCCAAGGTAGTCAGCCGTTGTCGCAGAGAGCTACAGGTTCTCAATGAACAACCCGCGTTGAATCTGTGCTGAGTACCGGGTCACAATAATATAATTGGAAATGAAATTGCAGACGAATTAGCACGATCAGGGGCAAACTTGGTTGGACTTAAACACAGCATGTGCTGATGTTTATCCTGTGCTTGATTCCGTTTATAGAAGTATAAGGTGTAAGTTCAAAATTGAATCGGATACACTATGGGACAATTCATCACAGTATATTAAAAGTTTTGAAATTTTTAAAATCAGTTTTCCACATCGAGTTGCTTGGATTTATAAGACTCCCTAACAGAAATTTATTAAAATTTAAACTACATGCATATGCATGTACGTAAATTTACATATACATATGTAGATCCATTGTTTCATTTACAGTTTTCTAAAAATGTTACTAATAAATACAAAATTTAGGAAATTATATAAATAAATCAGTTAAAGGTAAATAATGATTTATATAACAAAAATATAAATGATGAATTTTTTATGAATATGTATGACAACATGCAACCTTTCCTCTAAAATTATACAAATAAATTCTATTAACCATCACCAATGAAAATTTAAATAAATAAAAAACTATTGAAAAATAACAAAAAAATAAAAAAATAATACAAAAATAAAACAAATAAAAGAAATTTAAATTTAATTTACTTTGAAGTTATTGCTATATTTTTAAAAAATTGTGTTATTCAATAACCACAGAATATAAAATAATAAAACAATATAAAATCATATAGAGAATAACTTAAATTATAGAAAATTCAATTGAAATGGCAAAATTGATTTCTTAAATGTATGTTTTAATAACAAATTTTGATTTTTGAAAGAAATAAATTCAATTTTAATAATTTAATTTTTATTTAAAGAATATAACGTTGCCATTAATATTTAGATTTTTTTCTTTTGAAAGTAAAATTTAAAATCAATTACTTTTATATTTGAAAAATTTACAAGTTAATAAAATAAAAATCTTTTAAATAGAATTAGATAGAGAGTTAGATTTCTTTTTAAGTTAGAGAAAGTATAAAAAAGTACCATTTCAATGCTTTTGTTTTTTTTTTAATAATTGAAAACTGTCATTGTTTGTTTTTACCTTTTTCCTGTTTTCGTCGTTTACGTTTATTGCAAATTTTTACGGCACAAACCGATAAAATGATCGCAACTATAAAAAACAGGATGCCCCCAACGACACCGGCTGTTATTGCTTTATGTTTGACTCGAGCCGGTACCGGAAATTTAACTTCATCACTGGATTCATAAGATTTTTCCGAATTGGCTAAAACGCGAAAATAATACGTACGACCACCAACTAAATTCTTAACTAAATATTGTGTTTCTTCGGGTCGTATTTGACCGCGATTTAATGTCTTCCATTGAGCATCTGTACGATATTTTATTGTATAAAATTTAACGATATGGGCACGTTCCAATGGTGCTTGCCAAGAGATAAGAAAACCATTTGATACCTCGGTTACGGTTAGATTACGTGGTGGTCCTGGCTTGGGTCCTGTTTATAAAGAAATTAAATAGAGTTTTAGGTAGAAAAGTAGGTGGAAGAAAAGATGATATTTTAGATTAGTTATTTTAAATTAAATTTATGTAAATAATATATATAATTTTAGGTCTATTTTATATTAAAATTTTAAAGCTCTTTTTTAATAAATTTATAATTGCATATTTTTTTGGGTTACCTGTTTATCCTGTATATTATTCTATATATTAAATTATTAAATAAAATTCATGGAATGTTAATGGTGGACACTATGATATGATATTAAAAATAAAAATGGTTTAATTTAAGGTTAGAGTTTTAAATGTATTATATTTAAATGGTTTTTCTTCATTTTAATAGACTTAAAGTTCGGTTACGTACTGCTATGTATTGTCACACAATGTTACAAGGAATTGAAATTTATATTTCTATAACTTATCCTATATGAACAAGTAAGAGTGGAATATCGACTATGCCGAATCTTATATACCCACCATCAAACCGTATGCCGTAAATGGAATGCTCCCCTATAAACATTAGGTTGATATTTGAAATAGGGCTTAAGTTAATTATGGACACATCCCTTTCGGATTAACAAACTATTCAATTCTAAAACAAAATATTTTTGCCCAACTTTAAACCATGGGCGGTCAATCGGGGTCAATTATAAAATTCGGTAAAGAGATTTTGGCTTGTAAGAAAGTCTCTTCTGTATATCGTAGCTTGGATTATTTTCAAATGATATAAAAAATTTACTACGATACGTAAAAGTGAATATGAAATTAAAGTGTAGCAGGATCTACCTTGTGATTCCTCAACCATATACATTTATTTATTATAGAAGGTCCATTAGGCCATTGGCCATATATATCACCTAGCAGTAAGTGCTACAATAAACTGATTCTTTTTAAGGGGCATTACTCAATTATGGACTGAACTGAAAATTTATATATATTTTTTTAAACTCAGTCTTTAAAGTGCAGTTCAACCTCAATTTGATTACTTCAGTGACGCCAGTTCACAAATAAGTGACCAAGGGGTCAATGGAACGATTTTCATAAGCGATTTTCGCAAAACTTTGTGTATTTTTTTCAATACTATCGAAAGCAAGTTATGATAATTTAATTCATTTGGCATGACTACTTCTTTTTTGACCATTTTTTATATGAAATCAGAACACTGTGATATCGTAATTCTGAACTCTTAACTAACTAACTAACTAACTAACTAACTAACTAACTAACTAACTAACTACTAACTAACTAACTAACTAACTAACTAACTAACTAACTAACTAACTAACTAACTAACTAACTAACTAACTAACTAACTAACTAACTAACTAACTAACTAACTAACTAACTAACTAACTAACTAACTAACTAACTAACTAACTACTAACTAACTAACTAACTAACTAAACTAACTAACTACTAACTAACTAACTACTAACTAACTAACTAACTAACTAACTAACTAACTAACTAACTAACTAACTAACTAACTACTAACTAACTAACTAACTAACTAACTAACTAACTAACTACTAACTAACTAACTACCTAACTAAAACTACTAACTAACTAACTAACTAAAAAACTACTAACTAACTAACTAACTACTAACTAACTAACTACTAACTAACTAACTAACTAACTAACTACTAACTAACTAACTAACTAACTAACTAACTACTAACTAACTAACTAACTAACTACTAACTAACTAACTACTAACTAACTAACTAACTAACTAACTAACTAACTACTAACTAACTAACTAACTAACTAACTAACTAACTAACTAACTAACTAACTAACTAACTCTAACTAACTAACTAACTAACTAACTAACTAACTAACTAACTAACTAACTAACTAACTAACTAACTAACTAACTAACTAACTAACTACTAACTACTAACTAACTAACTAACTAACTACTAACTAACTAACTAACTACTAACTAACTAACTAACTACTAACTACTAACTAACTAACTAACTAACTAACTAACTAACTACTAACTAACTAACTAACTAACTAACTAACTAACTACTAACTAACTAACTAACTAACTAACTAACTAACTAAACTAACTAACTACTAACTACTAACTAACTAACTAACTAACTAACTAACTAACTAACTAACTAACTAACTAACTACTAACTAACTACTAACTAACTAACTAACTAACTAACTAACTAACTAACTAACTAACTAACTAACTAACTAACTAACTAACTAACTAACTAACTAACTAACTACTAACTAACTACTAACTAACTAACTAACTAACTAACTAACTACTAACTAACTACTAACTAACTAACTAACTAACTAACTAACTAACTAACTAACTAACTAACTAACTAACTAACAACTAACTAACTAACTAACTACTAACTAACTAACTACTAACTAACTAACTAACTAACTAACTAACTAACTAACTACTACACTAACTAACTACTAACTAACTAACTAACTAACTAACTAACTAACTAACTAACTAACTAACTAACTAACTACTAACTAACTAACTAACTACTAACTAACTAACTAACTAACTAACTAACTAACTAACTAACTAACTAACTAACTAACTAACTAACTAACTACTAACTAACTAACTAACTAACTAACTAACTAACTAACTAACTAACTAACTAACTAACTACTAACTAACTAACTAACTAACTAACTAACTAACTAACTAACTAACTAACTAACTAACCAACTAACCAACTAACTAACTAACTAATGTTTTATGGTTATGCCAGTATCTTGACAAAAATCGAACTTTGCAATGATCCTTCATTTGATTCTAAAAAATCCCCTTCAGAGAACGACTTGAATGTCGACAAATTTTATGTTAATTGAAATCCCTCCCACAAATTTCATGCGGATCGGTCCTTACTTACTCCTAGTCCTCATATAGAGCCTCTTTCAGAAAATACCAGTATCATCAACAAATTGCTTATAAATCTATGTAGGCCATGGCCGACTATAATTTCTATTTATTTATTTTTTTTGTTGAAAAGTGGTAGGTAGAATCGGTTCAAGATTTCATCAAAATCAAAACATCAATATGGGCCCCAAAATATAGTTTAAAATTTGTTTTTATATATAGAGATATTATACTATAAGATCAGACAATCCCATTCTTTCGAAAGTCATCCTGATATTTACATTACCATACAATTCAACAAAAACATAATAAATGTGTAAATCTTGGAAATTAATACTATGTATAAGATACGGCATATTTGTTATATATTCATATATTTATATGAAAATATATTGCTTTTTATAATAATCATAAAAATCTCTACATAAAGTTTTACATTTAAAATGTGTTTGTAAACAATAAAAAGTTCTTCGAATTCAATATTATGAGAAAAATATAATTTTAAAATTATTATTATTGGTTTTTTCATAATATAAAATAATGAGATATTATTGTATTTCAATTTAAATCGTTGAATTTTGCATATGCATTGTATAGTTTGCATATGCTGAAACATGGAAGTTATATAAGTGTATATGCATTGACTGCAATTATGTATACATAGTATGTATTTGTAAATATATGCATGTATGTATTCTTTAGAAATCCATATATGATAATAATTTCTTTTTATATGTATTAGTTTCATGTTGTGTTATCACGTATTGAATTTTTCTCTCTTATAATTGGCATACGATATGTACATACATATGTATTTGTTGAAAATTCTTTGCAAAACGATTTTAATACTATAATTTTTTGATATGATCAAAATTAATGTTCGAATGCTTTTAAAGTGGTAATTAGGCAAATATAGAGTATTGTGAATGTGTGTGTGTGTGTTATATTAATGCTAATGGGTACATTAGGTTGGTACTAATTTTATATTGGCCTCAATGCTAATTCAATTTATAATTTTGAATTTTAAATAACATAATATATTAATTAATTTTAAATTCCCAAAATCCCCCAAATTAAAAAAAAAGAATTTCTTTGGATAAGACTTTTTCTCTGGTCATGTGAAGTTTTTAGAAATCTGAATTTATGAAATACATAGGCTTTTGTTTATAATGCCTGTATATGTAACGATATCTGAGGAATTGGGTATTTGTTGTGTCACTCCAAGAACTTGGATTAATTATAATAAAATACATATCTGGAATTTCATATGTAAGAGTATTTTCTAACAAGAGAAAATGAAATGAAAATAACATTTATTATTCAATTTATTTTCAAATAAATTAAAGACAAGAACGTCGATAACATTATAAATTCCACCATTTCGGCGGCCAGGGAAAATGAAAAACTAAAAAAAAAAAACTAAAATGTTGATTTCTACTGACAACTTGCTAAGGTGTTAGACATGACAGCAACAACAACTGCACACACACACTCTTTCATACACAGAAATATACAGCAAAAAATAAACAAAAGAACAAAAAAAAAACAGAATATAAAATTAAAACCCATAAAAAGGACTCACAGGACAAAACAACAAAGTCCGGAAAAAAATGTAAGAAAAGTACAAAAAAATAAACAACATGAAAAAAATGTCAAAAGTACAATTGTTATTTATGACAGTAAAAAAATAAAGATAGAAAGCAAAAATACCAGCAACAAAATAACTTCAAAGGACACTCACATAAACACAGACATAAAACGAATAAGGGTCACAAACATAAAAAAAATAATAGAAAATAAGAAGAACAAAACTAAAGGAAGAAAAAAAAAAAAACAAGTTACTAAAAACACAAACGCATTAAAGGTAACAAAACAGACACTTGTATGGTAAATAAACAAAACTGTAAGGAGTGGGAGGAGCAGGGGAAAGGTAGTAGTGTTAGTAGTCATATAATATTAAGTAGAGTTTTAGGTCCTTTTGGTTGGTCTCAAGGAAACAAAACACTAAACATTTTCTTGTTTTTATCCATCCTTTTTTCTTTATTTATATTCATCTTTTTGTAGTGTTTAAATAATAAAATAAAAAAAACAAAGAAAGTAAG